GTATTGTATACAGTCATGCTATAATTAATTTTGGCTTGATACTTTTTTTTTTTCAATTCTCATTCAATCGGAATTCCACTTTTAGGATATAACATTTAAATATGTCAAGTGATGATGACACAGTAGACTTGGATGCTCTAAGAGATCATGTTATAACATTGTTACCAAAGTTACCTAACCAGGTTGTGGAACGCATTGTTGAAAAGGCTATTGACCTTGGAATTGAAAAACCTTCTGATTTTCAATTTACCACCAAAGATGACTTCATTGATTTAAATCTTAAAGTGATCCATGTGAGGAAACTAATAGGTGCTAGTACAGAAGGTAAGTACCATATAGTTTTACACATTTTGAACTACTGCTGTAAATATGAATTATTTATACTTGTGTATATTGTATAATTTTATATAGTTAGCTTTCATTTAAGAATATATTCAATTGTCATGTGTAACATGACTTTAGTACAGTGGTACAGTAATTGCTAAATTTTGCATAATTCATTTTTTAAATACTGTGTTTGGATAGACATTCTTTAACTTTTTCATCATTATTGGAATATACTCTTATACATTGATTATAACAGTATAATTTTTTTACAACATATTAATATAAAAGATAATTATTGCTGCAGTCGGCCATAAGATTTTCCCAAAAATAAATTTTCTCCAAGGATTGCCTTGTCTGCTACTGTATACCTGTAATTTTAGTGCAGTGACAACAGGATCAATGACTAAATATACAACAAACAGTAAAAACAACATAAAATATATCAAATTAAAAGAAAACAAACATTTAAATACTGTTATTTTAAAAAAGAATCCACAGCAATGTTGGCAAAATAATAATTATTTGTTTGTTTTTTTACCTGGAAATGTGTGTTTTTAATGTTGAATTTACATTTCAGGCACAGTTTCAACCAACAAGCCATCTCATTCCTCATCAGAGTCTGCATCAGAATTTGAGTTGTCTGGATGTAGTGCATCAGGATTTTCTAGTGATTCAACTATAGACTATAGTGTCTATTCAAATGATTCGTGGGCATCCAATTTTTGCATTCCTTGGGGGAAAATGCCTAATATTTTAATGAAAGCTCTGAAGAAACATGAGAGACTCGCCCATCACACAGACGGGAAATGATCCGTATAGTAGTGAATGAAATAATGACATTTTCCACAAAACCTGGGAGAAAACATCTAAAAATGATTGCATCAAAGATCGTTAATGAATATCCAGATTCCTTCCAGGATAAGCTTGAAGGGGCTGTTGTAGGTCGAGGTTATGAATCAGTGCTTGCCCAGTTAGAGTGTCGTGTAGGAAACATTGGTAGAGTGGGAAAGGTACCTTTAGCAGCTGTTAAAGATAGTGCAGAAGTCTGCAGTGATACATGTTCATCAAAAACAAAGAATTGTAAATATGGCACTGACTGGCAACCAGAACTACCAGAGGGTGAGGATGCTTCAACTCAAAATGCAAAGATGGAAGAGATGAAAGAAATGCATTTGCATAAGGACTGGGAAGTTAGTGCTGTCAACAAACTGCTGGAAGAAACTTACCCTACACTTAGATCCATCATAAATGGAAATCATCCTCTCATGGACATCAAAGAAGATTGGCCATTCCTATTTGAACCTTTTGGAATGTTCGCACATTTCAATCGCTTAGTTGGGATTCATTTGCAGGACAAAATTATTCAAGCATTTGATTCGCATGTCCCACGACTGTATACTTTTTTGTGCACAAAACAGAACGTGAAAAACATAAGGGTAGCATTTGCTCAAATCGAAAAAGCAAAGAAGGCAAAGGGGACCAGCGAACCAGAAGTTCTTGGAATTCTGTACCTAATCACTGCATATCTTGGAGAGGACATCACTACGCTTGTTCGAAATGAAGAAGTAAGTGTTTAAAATTCTTTGTTCTAACTTTTATATTAAAATTTAAAACAACAATTGTTATATTAAATGCATTTTTACAAACATTATCGCACCTACCAATGTCTTTAGACACTTCACACATGCACCTTTATTATTGGAGTGATTATTGATTTCATTATTTTTCAATTTATACAGTCTGTATATTTGTTGGTACATCAGCATTTATTTAAATTTATATAAGCCTATCCCAACAGTGATTGGTGCTGACCATAGTAGAATACTATTGCACAATTTCATAAGTGTGTTTTTTTTTTTTTCAACTTGATCATTATATAAAATTACTTTATTTTATTAAATATTACATCATTTCATGTAAGCAAACAAATTAACTTTTACATAAGTCTCTATTAGCAACCATCTTCCATAAACAACAACATTTTTTGATTAGGATTTTTTTTTAAATTGCCTAAAATTATTTTATATTTAAAAAAAATTTGATATTTATGATCGGCATGATCAAAGTTTACGTTAATTTCTGTCAGTCTGGACCATCAAACACCGTAATTTTACAATTTTCTACATAGTACAGAGTTAATTATTTCTGAAGTTTACAAAACTTTTGAAGCTTCAAACTCAAGGCCTACATGCACTAATTTAGTTTCATAATTTTTTTTAAATCTTATTTTCATATATTTTGTTGATTTACTAATAGGACACAATTGCTCCAGATGAATTTGACACAGAAACCCT